GACATTTGCCGCTCTTTCTCCCCAGCTTCCCACCAACACCTGAGATGCCAGAACCCGGGAAACACAATGGGGGTGTTGGGTGGGGCGGGCACTTTACCCGTAAAAGCGATCTAACGGCAGCTTAGCCACCAGAATCACTTGTTTACAATTGTAAACGGAGTACCGTCTGGACTCTGTTTAAATGGGCCTGCTACCGATGACCTATTATGTACGTCACTGGTCGCTAAGGGCTAAACCGATAATTACCACTCATCTGCAATAAGACTTAATTCTCAATGACAAAGTAATGTGGACTGAAGTTTCTAGGGTGCATACTTGATACATTCTGGTTGAGCATCCACTCTAGGCATAGTCACAAAAGCATCATGGCTGTATTTAGTCGCGTCAACAGCCCCTCATTTTAAAAACGTATTCTTTGTTCCGTAGACAAGTGATATAGCTCGCATATGCACTGGAGGTCTCCTCTATATGCTTTTAGAATATTGCTTAAGAAAACTATTAAATGTTGCCATTTCTCAAATTCAATTTCAGTCTGCAAACCAGCATCTTAAAACGTTTGCACGGTGTGGAGTTCATCCCCTTATCAGGCGCTTGTCTTCTGGTAAACAACTTCATTTTGTATTTCCTAAATGTTTATCTGTAAATAATTGCATTGCACCATAGTACTAACTTTACATGGTTAACTCAAACAGCTGTAATTATTATTATTATACAGGATTTATAAAGCGCCAATAGTTTGCACAGCGCTTTACAATATAAGGAAGACATTACAGTCACAATACAATGTAATGCACATTTGTGGTTTACAGAATACATAAGCAAACATTTAATTTTGGATTGTTTAAAGTTGTAAACAAATATTAACGTGTGGTCTACCTTATTGGCCTTCTGATGACTCGTGTAACTTTTTGGTGGGTTTCCCTTTACACCTGTAAATTTGTGTACATAACCAGATTTACAGGGACGGGACAGCCAAATAAACAGACTGTCTACGAGAGGGCGTGCATAGGCTAAAAATGACTATGAAGGCATCGGAAGGTCTCTAAGATTGACTGATTACTTTTAGAATGGAGCTTTTCAGATGTTAAATGCTCTATGTTGCCTTTGAAAACCTGAATAGCCAGCATGTTAAACTTTATCCTTTACTGTGATTTTCTTTAGAAGAAAGTGTGCGCTGGCAACGTAGCCTCTCCCTTGGAATGTCTGCCTGGAGTGTAGACTACGAGTTGGGGTCTGAACTCTATGCAAAGTTTCAAAAGATGCATGATGCTGATACATGCAGGTAGGAGGCAAATATGTGCTGCTGTTTAGAATTCAGTTTGCTAGTTTAGGTCCACTGCCTAGTGTGCTTTAAATTGTATATTAATATGTAAAAAGGGGAATAGAATTTTTAGGGCAGAAATAATTTTAAACATCCCTGGAAGCAGTTGGACTGTTAAAGCTCAAGGAGTGATGTTTGTGTATTTTTGTTTTCTTTTCTTTCTTTCATTATTGTGTGCAGGAGGAAGAGCATAGAGAATGGCAGCAATACCCAACAGAAGAAAGATGTTTTCCTGCCCCAATTAATTGCTGAGCCTGATCTTGTGAACTTCACTGCACTAAGTAACAACTCGGTAATTAAACCGCACTTTGTCATGATTTAATTTGCTATTGTCTTTTAGCGATTATATGTCAACATGTCCTTTTTCAAGATAACTGTTTTGAATTTTAAAGGAGAACTATGGGGTCAGTGTTTTTCCCCTTAGTTCTCCTTAGGTCTCGTTCACACCTAGGCATATGCGTGTCTGTCGTGCGTTTTTTACCGCGTTTTCGAAGGCTACTTGGCTGTATCCCAATGGAAACGCGCAACAAAACGGCCCAAAGTAGTACCTGTACCTTTTCAGGCATGGGCCGTTTTGTAGTGTGTTAGGGACGGGCGGAAATACGCCAAGGTGGGAACGAGACAATTGAATACAATGGGATTTATATTTTTGAGCGTTTTGTAGAGCGTTCGTCGAGCGTAGAACGCGCTACAAAACGTTCAGGTGTGAACGAGGGCTTAGGGTAACAGGAGGACACAAACTAGCGTCCTCCCGTTACCCTAAGCTCAGTATACCGCGAGCTACAGTTCGCGGTATACTGAGACGCCGGAGCGGATCCCGACGTAGATGACTGGATCCGCCCAGCTGCGTGAGTGACAGCTGGCTCTGCCTATCTAGAGGCAGAGCCAGCTGTACCCTCCCCCGTCCGTTCCGCCAGTCAGCGCTGGCAGATCGGAGTGGGGAGAGGGGAATCCAGCCCTCCCCCTGTCACGGCAGAGAGCTGTGACAGGATCGAGAGGTGAGCGAACCTGGTATGTGTTCGCTCACCTCCCAATCTACTGAGCCGACCTGTGACAGTCTCATTGTCACAGTTCGGCTATAACTATGAGGTGAGTGGAAATCACTCATCTCATAGTTCTCCTTTAAATGTAGAATTGAATGTTTGATCTGGGTCTAGGTGATTTGTAAAATTTAGCAGGTTACATACCTGTCTTTCAAATTTTTTTTTTTTGTATTTACTATACTTTTTGGTGTTTTGTTTTAGGTGAAATATGTTATGCTGAAGAACCCATCTCCTTTTCCAGTAACAGTGCAGTTACTACCCCTCTCTCATTACCCCAACCCTCAAGCTGCTCTCAGCCTTCTTGGCAAATGGTAAGCATATATGCTTCATTTTTCTCTGTGCTCGGACCTATTGCTTTTTTTTAGGTGTTGTTGTTTTTTGTTTTTTTTTTGTTTTTATCTTGGCACCCAAATAAATTAGTTTTGTGTGACTTTTTTTTTTATTTTTTTGGCTTTGTTAAAAAATATTTTAAAATTATGTTGGCTTTTTAGGTATGGTGCAAATGAGCAAGAGATTGACTTTACAACAGCAGAATTCAGGCTGCAAAAAGAGTGTGACACTCAGGTAATGTATGTATGTTTTACATAAAACCAAAGGTTATTGTATGTTAAATGGTGTAAACATAACACATTTAACATCTGTTTTACAATAAAATTTAAGGTTTTATCGATGCAATCATATTTTCATTTGGATTGGAAGAGAAACTGTTTTGCAAGTGTTTCTTTTGTGTTTTACAATTTGGTTCTCAAGCTGATGAGTTGACCGTAAAGAGAAATAAATACTGTATATCTATGTAGATATAGAAGGGCAGAAGAAGGGAAATGGTGGGATGGAAAGATGCATTGTAGTATTCATGATAGAGTGCAAAGCATAAGTGAAGGTGTGGAATTTTACAATCTTTTAAATTGGAGAAAGGGTTGCTTTGGAGATGTTGTGCAGGTGAAAGTGAGAGGACTTGGATGTGTTAAGAATATAAAGATTGAATGTGGGGTGACGCACACATTTGTGACTTGGGATGCACAGATATCGTTTTTTCGGTATCGAGTACCGATATTTTTTTTTTCCCGGTAATAGCCGATACCGAATACAGATACTGGAAGTCCCATTAAGGAAGCCAGGCAGCGTGTAATGACTCGCTGCCCGGCTTCCTAGCAGTGAGGAGGAAGGTTAGCCTGTTATAGACAAAGTGTTCTGTTTTGGAAGCATGTGAGGAAAAAAGCAATTGGGTGATTAAAGCTGGGATTGTTTTCTTTAGTATAAGTATGGTTGTTTAAAGCCAGAAAGTTGGATACCTTTGGAGAGTTAGAGTTTAAAAAGTTGAGACAGCATAGGAGGCAGTAGAGCATGGGCATAGGGTAGTCAAAGGAGCAGGTTGTAGGTGGAAATGAAGACAAGGTGATAGGGGACTTTGTTCATAGTTGGCAGAATAAGCAGGGGATATAGTTGATAGTATATAGGGTGTGTTGGCAGGTCTGTGTGTTAACAGTTACAATGCGATATATTGACAGATTATGTCAGTATATTTCTTTAAAGTAGCTTGCATGAAATTATTGTGAAAGAGCTAACATTTGTATAAAAGAAAATTCCTGTTTAAACCAGATTCTCTCCACTTGTGCTTGGCCACATCGGTAATACATTTTACAGGCATCTCGTATAAAAAATATGCCAGGGTAGATGCTTAACAGGGTGAGGACATTTTTTGGCAATGATATCCAGGACAGATCATAGTGTGTTATTGATACTGGGAGGTATCTAGGTTATGAGGGATGCAAAGTTTGGGAAACAAAGGAGTCGAGACTACATTCACATACCAAAACATTGAAAAGACTATAGCTTATTCTTTGATTGTTACAGGAAAAATCTCAGAAGTGCAGTAGTGAAGTACTTGAATTGCATTTACCAGCTTGGGAATGTCGGCAAGTTGGAATAGTCTTTGCACCTCTAGATTACCGAAAAGTTACCTCATACATAATTGTCCGGTAAGAATTTTTTATGGCTACTAAAAATACCAAAGTTCTTCATGTTAAGCTGGAAACTCTCTTATGTGTAATTGGTTATACAAGCCAGCTGCTTTTCCGACGACAAAAAATATAATAACACTTGAGGTAGATCACAGACCAACCTGAATTTCAGAAGGAAAGGTTGTTCTATGCCAAAGCTTGATGCTTACTGACTGTTTTTGTAGAACATATGGCACAAGGAAGAGCCTTTTCTCGGAACAGACATATAAGCTTTTCCAATGGCTTGAGGGATGCTTTGAAAACAATACAATGTGTAAGGTGGCATGCGAGTCCCTAGAGGTTGGACTAATATTCAATATATAGCTTTCATTTGAGGCCATAGACTTGCTGAAGGAAGCTGAAATGGCTGCAAGATGAATCATAATTGTTTTGTCATTTCTATACAAATTTGGGCTTAAAGTGTTGGTTAGGCACTGGACCCTAGTTTAAATTTGGTATTATAATTGAGACAGAGGCAGCTCTCCAAGGATGATGAGCTCAGGTAGGTTATAGGAGCATTAAAACAGTGGAGAGAATAGAACGCCTCAGTCCAGTTTTTAGTTTAGTTTGATTAATCACATCAGCATCCACTAGTAGCCAGCACGTTTCATTGATCCCCTTTATTATGGTTAGAGACAAAATGTTAGAGTATCGTAACAAGGCATACCTTTTGTAAGTGAAATTGATATCACTTGTTATTAAAATATATAATAGATATAATCTTGTAAATGCAATCAAAATCACATAAAATTAAGCGGAAACATTGTCGGTATCACTGACCACCTGAACTAAGGTTGGCCCTGTTGCTGATAAAGGAGAATAGATGGAACTGATTATTAATACACCCCACAGGTTTCAGGTTGAGATGAGTTATATTATTTATATATAATTTTTTTTGAGGATGCTTTACCTTTTAAAGTATAAATTAGTTTGTACCTTGATTCATTATTTCCTGATTTTTAGACAGTCCCATTAAATATGACGTAAGGTTCCAACAGCTCTACAGACCGCAAACAGATATATTTGAAGGGTGTTAAGGATATGTGTGAATTTGTGTGTTTAGGTGTAAATGTAATGTTTTCCACATGTATCCAATCAAGTGAATAAAAAGTTAATTTTTTTAGGGGAGAAACCAGAAATAAATGTTTTCTGTTTTTTGTTTGTGTTTTTTTTTTACCCCAAATATTTAACGCTCCACTTAAATGCAAGAAATTCTAATTGAACCCTTCTTGACAGGAACAATTTGACTTTTCTGGACATGATCACTGTTGAAGGTCTTGGAGCGAGGGAATTGTTGCGTGTTGGAGGGAGACTGCCAGGAATTGGTGGTTCCCTGCGATTCAAAGTCCCAGAATCTACACTAATGGATTGTAGACATCGTAAGTCATTTTCATAATATGGGTTTTCCCTATTTTACAAGAGTGTCAAACTTACCTAAAACTTTGTTTTTCTGCAGAGTTAAAGGATAGCAAACATATTCTGTCAATCACAAAAATGTTTAAGGTTGAAAACATTGGTTCTCTGCCCTTGACTATTGTGGCCATGAAAATTAACGGATACAACTGCCAAGGTTTTGGTTTCGAAGTTCTAGACTGTCGCTTGTTCTCTCTTAGCCAGAATGCCTCACGGGAAATCAGCATTGTGTAAGTATCAGTGTTTTCTATAACAGTCTTTTACCCATGTACCACAAATACTTAAGCGCTAAAGTATATGTCAGATCTTCTCATGTCAGATGTGCTCATTTAATGCATTAAAAAAGATTAATCAATGCTTAGCTTTGCCAGCAAGCTAAAATACCCAATTTAAAACCTGGTTTTAACTCTTGACTCAAACCAGACATCTTTGTGACATATATTTGCCAATACATATCTAAGCTACACACCAAAAATGCAGCTCTGCTCCATCATATGCATACCAGTAATGTGAGCAATTACTAAATCAAACACAAACTTGGCAACTAAGCATTCGCTTAACAGATTGTTGGCCGCCGCAGTTAGGTAAACGTCTGGCTCCTGAAACAGTTTTATCAAGATCAGGCTGCTGCAGCAAATGCTGTTCAGATACAAGTGATCCGGCGGTTTTACAGCCGCCTCATCGCTTGTATGGTTCGGCGGAGTGTGCACTAAATTGAATTTTAGTGTATTTTATCCTACAAATACTGGTTTGATAAACATTTGCACAAATACTGTGCGACATAAATTGCAACTAGCATTTTTTTTATTCTACAGGGCCTCTGTGTTCAGAAAATATATAATTGTTTGGGGGTCTGAAACTGTTTTCTAGCCAAAAATTCAGATTTTATCATGTGTGGGCAAATATTAAGAAATTGCTTCAGACAGCAAGTGGTTAAATGTACAACACATATGGGAAGCCAAGAACTGCTGAAGCTTTCTCTTTTAAATAAAAACACATAAAAAGAAAAGTGTAGAAAAAGAGCTAGTGTAAATACAAGTAGCAAAAATAAATTGTGCAAAATGTTCATTTAAAAAAAAAAAAAAAAGCATTGCCAATTTAGTTTGATCGGTCAGGTGGACCACAAAACTGTGGATACCTGGTGAACATGTTTTTTCTGTGTGATTTGAAGGGTTAGCCCAGAATTCCTTTCATCCATGTGGCTGAAGTCTTCATGTTTACCTTGCTATTTGCTAATTCGGATGGTAACTTGAATATGTAGTTCTGCAGTCCTAACTTGTTAGAAAATAAGCAGTATATGGTGTATGATTGTGCCTCATTAGTTTTCTTTTGTGTCTGTGTAGAAATTATAACGGTATGTCATCTCTCGCTGGACAGGTTCATTCCCGACTTCACATCATCCTGGGTAATACGTGAGCTCACACTAGTGAGTGCTTCCAATCTGGAGTTCCGCTTCACCCTCAATGTGACTCTCCCTCATCACCTGTTGCCACTGTGTGCAGATGGAGTGCCTGGCCCCAGCTGGGAAGAATCTTTCTGGAGACTAACCGTCCTCTTTGTTAGGTAGATTCAGATGGTCTTTTTAAAAAAAACAAAAGGCAAAACTTTTATTTTTTATTTTTGGTAGAATGAAAAGGGTTTAGAACACTGTCGGGTATTTATTGCGGTGTGTCCCTGTTAGGGAGATTCACCCTCTCTATTTCTCATGGTGACTGTTCACACAGAGAGAGTAGGTGACCATAAAGCCTAGATTTTGAGTTGCCACAAGAATGGGAATAGAGGTTACCCTGGTGACAACCAGAGATTTCCCTCACTTTGGTTGGATTTCCTCTCACTTCCTGTTGTGGTTATGAGCTAGGAGGTGAAGGGAAATATCCCCAGATGGCAAAAATTGACAAAATGATAAAACAAAATCTTTTGGCTTTAGTCCCACTTTAGGTAATTTTTTAGAGTCTTCCTATGCTTTTATCAGCGTTCCACATGTTCTTGGTGATGTTGATGTTTAGCATAATAGCAAAGGTGCCCACACACCTTGCGATAATCGTACGATAATCGTGGGAAATCCCACGATCGTACGATTATCGCAAGGTGTGTGGAAGGCGTGCGACCTCTGCTACTGTAAGGTCGCACGACTTTTATCTTAAGAACATGTTCGAAAAACACGCCGAGAATCGTACGATTGTCGGCGGGGGTGTGGCATGTTCGGAAGATAAATGCCACACGGGCCGGTGTGCGCAAGCGCACACTGCCCGTTTAGCATTGCGGTCATCGGAAGCCTGCCCCTCAGCGATCAGTGCAAGTACGATCTGCCTGTCCAGGCCTTGCAATGGTTTTAAGGTGTGTGCCCAGCATTACAGCAAGGGTTTAAAGTGCCCATTTAAAGTACTGTTTTGTTTTAGGTGGAGTGGGGGGAGGATTAGAATCAATTGATAGTTACAGCTTGCTGGAGCTCTGTTAGAGAGATTTATTCTCACTGTTGACAATTCTTTTACCACAAAACCAAAGAATGTGCTGGACATATTTTAACTGTAGCAATCCGTGCAGCTCCTTGTGGGAACCCAGGGGCAAAATAGGCCTGGCAGTGACAGGTGTGGGGGAGCCCTGGCTATTTGAAAAATGATTGGTGGAACAGTGACATTACTGAGCTATGCAAGGTAACCTCCTGTTCATCTTCCAGCTGGGGCTCATATGACTTGTGATGTGACTTGCCAGTCTGTCTCTTGGGCAGTCTCACAGTTTCTCCATTTCAGAACAGTCTCTCTCTTCAGGCCAGTATCCTAACATGGCAGACTTTCACTCTTTGCTCCTGCTTACTGTTCTTCCTAAATGCAGTTTAAAGTGAGGGGAAGGATGGGCATCAGGATTTTGCTATTTTTTTAAGCTAGATAGCTGAGTACTATTATAACTTAACACCAGCAATGTGTCCTGATTTATTTAACCTTTACTGTTCTAAGTCATTTGCTTTTGTTTTTTGTTTTGCAGTTTGTCTCTTGTTGGAGTTGTTTTAATAGCCTTTCAGCAAGCACAGTATATCCTGTCAGATTTTATAAAGATAAGACAAAGAAACAACTCCAGCTCATTCACCCAGCATAGTTCTAGTGCAGTTGATACCATCACCTCTGAATCCTACAGGTATGTTCAAATAATTTATGTATTAACAGTAAAACTGTATAATTATATCTCATTGTTTGGTTTGAAAGTAACACATGTACAAATAATAAAAAGGCCTACCAATTAAAGCCCAATTCTGGGCTCATCCGTCGGGCCCCCAGTGTGTATTCTACGGTCTGGTCATGTGATGAGCAGGGTCCTCTTGTGGTGATCTTCTGGTGCTGGGTGGTCCTTTTAAGATGAAGACGGCAGCGTTGTTGTGATGGCAGTACCATGATTGGCATCATTGTATGAACATGCTGGGGGCAGGTCCATGTTGCCCATCGCTCACAGGATATCTTCAGTCTCCTATGCTGGATGCAATTAAACTGTGAAGGGGACATCTAGTAGTGTTTCCTGTGGCGCTTTGGAACTGTCTGATTTCAGGGCTGTGGTAGCACATTGAAAATCCTCTAGGTGATAAATTAACTGGATTATATTCGAGCTCTCACTCTCCATCACATAAGTGATAATACCAAATTACTTGTCTTGCTTTACAGTTTATTAGAGGAATTATTTGTCCCTCATCACTGTAATCTGTCTAGAAATATTGCACCTGTGTGTCCATTTAACACGTTTTAAAGTAAGAGTCATGTCCAAGAGCAGATACAAAAAGATGCCTGCTTTTACCTACATTAGCAATATACTCCTCCACCTCCGTGTGGTTTCTGCTGTGATTTAGGCTCCATTTACACTGGAGCAACTGTCCACGTGTAATTTGCTGTATGAATACGCGAGGAGCCGCTCTAAACTTTAAAGTGCACTGTTCAGACTATTGCGGGGGCCACGGGTAAATAGTGCAAGCACGATAATGTGGCGGATTACTCGCGTTCGCGGCTATATAATACGAGTGGCATCCGTGTGGATTAAATTTTTTAGCTTATAGCACAAATGCTATATGTGAATGCAGCCTCAGTGTCACTTGCTATTAAAGGCTTGAATTCTTCACTCCTGGAGGTTAGCCGTCATCCTGTTTCATATTGTCCAGTTGTGTCATTTATGGATACTGTATTCTTACTGGAAATAAGAATAGCAGCTTGGCAGGACTTAACACAGAAGTCCAGGAAGTCAGGCAGCTCATAAATTGCTTTTCAGACCAATAAAACATATAGTAGATACTTAATCATAACTGCCATTGGTGCAAACGGGTGACAGGCTACAGGAGACATATGTCATAAAAGGAAATTTCACTAAAGCAAATATTGGGTGTTGCCTTTGTCTCTAAATGGATGTCCCTTAACAGCTATCTTAACTCTAGACAATGTCTACATTTCTTTATTATATATTAGTAGAAGCAGGATTAGTAACAGAGATTGTGCAACAGGAAAAAAAAAGTGTACTGAGATACAGGTGTGGTTGAGTCATAGCTGTGAAATGTCGCTTAAGCTGGCCATACACTGCTTCAATTTTGTCTGACTGGGCCAATATTCCAACTGTGGATGGCCCTGTAACTAGTAGGTTGCAGTCACTGTTCAGGTATTTTGAGAGTGGCGGACACTGGCTGTCAGAATACAACAGAACCTTTAGATTTGTTCAGCCCGCAGACCAGCTTTACTCAAGAACTAGTGGCTAGGATAAAGGATGGTGTGATATTTTTAGTCAGCATTTTCTGATTTCCCAGTTTTGTTGCAGATTAATTTTTTTCCCCACTCTAATAATGTACTACTTTTGTATTATTACAGGGGCAGCTGTAAAAGTTTTACTGACTCCAGCAGTCCTCCAGATAAAGGAAAAGGAAAGGGCTACCTGGCTGTTGCTGCTGCTGCACCGGTCCGCAGCCAGAATGCATCCAAGAGGGGTCCTGCTACGTACAGCCACTCACAGAAGAAGCAGCACAAGTGCTCGGTGTATTACAGCACAAAGCAGAAATCGAGCAGTGTGGCCAGTAATACAGCAGCTTGTGACATAAGCCAACAGATCAGTCCAGACATGAGACCCCCCTCGCCAAAGGACTCTGCTTATAGTAACACTCTAGCTGACAAGTGGACAGATGTAGACAGCGTGGATACGGGTAACCAAAAGCACTTAAGTGGCCCAGACAACAGTCTGTGTAAAGAACAATCTGCACTGCAAACCCCACTTCTCCCACAAAGAAATGCATATGAAAACACTTTTAAGGAGGAGCCAATAATATGTATGTTTCCTATGGAAACGACTTGTAAAACTTCAGAAAGCATGACTGAGCCTAAACAACAGAACTTTTGTGGTTTCTCTCCTGTATCTGGTAAATTACCTGAAGACCTCATGTCCAGGAGTCAGCTCAAGTCACATACTGAACCACCGCTTGTTCCTCGCAAGTTGGAGGGTAATTTGTTTTTTTATTTGACATTTTTGGTTTATTATAGCAAAAAGCAAGTGTTCTAAAAGATGCACCCAGATATTACTTTTGACTGATAATTTAATGAATATATATAAAAAAAAACAGTTCTTTAAATATGTAGCGGGGGTACCAAGCAGCTTTGCAGATGCAATTTTTAACTTTTTAATTTTTTTATTTATTGTACTCTGGAGAAAAACTGAACGTAAACAATACAGTGTTTGTGATGAAAGCTCTCAGTCTGTGCAGTCTGTGCATTTGCCTTTGTGCATTTTTTGTGTGCAAATAAATGCCAGTGAAAGGGCACACAAAAAAACCTAAGATCTACATCCTTGGCCAATGGTGCTGTTCTCAAAATGTAATATATTGCAGCTTACCAGTCCTTAGTTGTGGTGGCTGCATTAGTTTTCTTTCCCTTTTTTTTTTCAACTTGGCTTTCTGCAACTTACACAATTGTTCTTCTATAAACAAGATAGGACTATGAAACCCTGCACCTCTCCTATTCGTCATAACATAGAAGGTTGCGGTTCTGTAGTCCTGAGAGATAGCTGAGAACAATGTCATTGATCACTTCTTGTGCTCTCTCCCTGTGCTGTTAAACACTTTAAATTGTATATTTAACAGACCAAGAGGAACCAAAAAGGAGATGTTCATGTTAGGTTTGAGGGCCTGTTCACATGATTTTCAGGTGGGGATCTGCAGACGCGGTGCTATAAGTTTGGCCGCGTTTTTGATGCGTTCCAGTAAAAAAAAAAAAAGTTTTTTTTTTGCTGGAGTGGGCCTGTCAGTATTTTAGCTGCAGTGCGTTTTTTGACGCGTTTTGCATTTGCGGATCGTTTCCTGACCGTACAAAATGTGCCATGCAGTATTTTTTCTGTCGTAACCTGAACGGACTGCGCACGTGAGAACTGGAGCCCATAAAACACATAGGGATACATTGGGATGCATTTTTAGTGCAGGAGCGTACGGATCAGGTCAGCACAGAAAACGGACGTCGTGTGAACAGGCCCTAAGGCTACATTTTCACGGGGCTTAAGGCTGCAACTGGGGACACTTGTCTATGCCTGACTGAAGGCAATGTTCATTTTAACAGCAAATTTTGATCTAGTTTTAGTAGACTATCATAAGGTTTTATTCGGCTAAATCTCCAGTAGATGTAGTCTGCTCAAATCTAGTGAGTTTAGTTACAGAGTAATTGAATCATTTCTCTAAAATGTCCAATCTCATGATCTTCTCTTGGAGTAAACATCTGTTAACCTGTTATTACTTATGGTATTAAGGTTTGAACATGCAATACAGACACAGATTTAACTTGTGATATAATATAAATGACATTAAACCAAGTCTTCTAAAGAAACAATAATATTGAGTATTTTCAACAAAGGAGCAGTACTTAGATATGCGTTGATTCTAGCAACTTGCATATGACATTCTTCATTCAAGCAAAAGTGCAACTCTAAAATGAAGTCTATATTGGTTGTAATGCCATCGCACATACAGTGTGGCAAATGATTTGATTCCCTGGCAGATTTTGTGAGTTTGCCCACTTACAAAGAAATGAAAGGTCTATAATTTTTATCAGATGTGTATTTGTAATGACAGAGACAGAATATCAACCAAAAATCCAGAAAAAAAAACATGATACAAATGTTATAAATTGAGTTGCAGTTCAGTGATTTAAAATACGCCTATGATACAAGGAAATTAAATGGCTATAATGTTTATAATAAACTATGACGAAAATTATTAGTCGACAAAATGTACGCTGACTGAAGGTAATTGTTCCATGTACAATTACATGTGGACTGCCGCTGACAGATGTGGCCGCTGTCGGCCTGTCATTCACTTGAACAGGCAGATCAGCTGCATCTGTACGGACACAACTGGGATTCCTCCCACAGGAGGTAGATCCTTGCCACAGGAATCCCAAGTTGCAGCCTGATGCCCTGTGGCTTTTTAGAGTGGTTACATATTGGGATATATTTTTAGTTGGCTTCTCATGTCATAAAAAAACAAAACACTCGTACTTGCCTTTTTCATCACGCACACTGTTGATCTTTGCTCTCTTGAAGAGCTATGGTGGCTGAAGAACATTTAGTATCTAACACACTTTCAGGTGTGTTGGATGCCTGGTCCCTGGCTAGCCACTCTGGTTCAACTTAGCGGCCCTATGTCTCTACTCTGGTGATGTCCTAAAAAGGTTCATACTGACAGTAGGAGAGAATAGAGTGACATAAATTAGCCCATCAGTCTGCTGCTTCTAAATCACTGTTAAATCACAAGCTGGTAAAGGGACATGACTTGGCTCTATAAACTGCAGTAGAGAAAAATCAGGTCTCAGGCTTTGATTTGCTTCATAGCGGAGCTGTGTTAATCTCAGGAATGAGTGGTCAAATATAAATCAATTGGCAGGTAAAATGTCTAACATATATATGTTTCATCTGTGTATTGATCAGTTTGCCTGGAGCTTAGCTTTGCATCAAAAGTAGGATAACATATGACCAGACATTACTACAGCTATTACCCTACTCTGTCCTCCTGCTGGTCTGGTGCTTGATAGGGATACATTAGTGAACTGAAAAGAATTTGGGCTACAGGCCCTAGGCGGGGATTTAGGACAATTGTGTAGCCTGGGCTGATTTTTCTGTATTTATATCTTCTAAATATGTGGTATTCACCACTTTGTGGCTTCTTACAGGAAACAAGCACCGTGTAACCCCCACAGCACATAAGGAATGTGTTGAAACACCCAAAAAGTCAACAGACAGAGAAGTTTCTGCGGAAAAGAATCCTCAAAACAGTTTAAGGGAGAAGAGTTGTGGTAAACCAGATGTGTCCCCAACCAAGGTATGTGTTATTACATTGTACTGTAGTTTCTCAATACTTGTCAAACAAAATCTGCTCTGCGCAATTAGAATCGATCTACATAACATTACCGCAAGGCATGTAAAAATTATACATATATATATATATATATCTGACGTTTGTAGGCAAATTAGCTATAATTTTGCGCTGAAGTTGCTAGAGAGCCAGACCATTATAAATAGGGAAGCAGGTTGTTTACCACGACAGTAGAAGTATTTTTTTTTCTGAAGATATGGGTAAACAACGCGATTTAACAGCCTTTGAACGTGGGATGATTGTTGGCGCTCGGAGCCATGGAGCGAGTATCAGCAAAACAGCAGAATTAGTTAAATGTTCAAGAGCAGCTGTTGTTAAAGTGTTTAAAGACTGGACTGTCAGCCGAAAATCTGGGTCTGAACGTGTAAATTGTCAGCGACTGGTCAATGTTAGGGCAGGACGGAGAGTGGCAAGACTGGTACAAGACAACAGAAGGACAACAGTGCAGTGTCAGATTCCTCGCATCACCTTTCAACATCTCGTGGGGTCACGAGGCGGTCCAACAAAGTCATCTCGTGAGTCACGAGGCGGCCCAACGATGTACTGATGGGGGGAAGGGGGGTGGGTGGTCATAATAATCTGGCCACTCAGTGTATATATCTATATATAGATATATATATATTTTCTAAGCAGGAGGTCTTTACATTTGCATCGTTCAGCTATGAATGTCTCCTAATCATCTGGCGTGAGTAAGATTCAACTGTTGTAATTACCTGCTAAACTTTTCAGTTCTGTGAAAAACTTGAAATGCAATAATGTTTTTTGTTGGAACTTGTTAGTCAGTCATGTGTGTCCCTATTGGGGAAATTTCCCCCTCGCTTTCAGGACGGGGAGTGATTGGAATCTCCAATGGGAAACATAGACATAAACACATTTTAGTAGAGAGGGGAAGAATTACAAATGCCAGTATTTTTGTGTCCTTCCCGTCACCGTGATAGCCATTCCTTCCTTTTCCTCTTTATGGTTGTCACAGTGCAGGAAATAAAGGAAAATCTCCCCACTGGGGTCACAGACCAAAAATAGAAAACTGACAAAAATGTTACCCCTTTCCTTACCCCATGCAACAAAAAAAAAGTGGATGGAGTTGGGCTTTAACCGTATCAATTCTTTGCACCTATGGTTGAAGGATAGAGGGCAGCATTTCCAAGGAGGAATGTTTTCCTATTAAAGATGATGCATGTAAGCTCTTATTCTTTTATATAGTCAAACAGCCTGGTTGCTGCACGTTGTCTTTAATTCGTGTACTGATTTGTTGTTTTGCATTGGTCTCCTGTTTATGACAGTGCATAGATACCCTGTTTCCCCGAAAATAAGACCTACCCAGAAAATAAGACCTAGTACTATTTTTGGGAATTACTAAAATATAAGAGCTACCCCGAAAATAAGACCTAGTTGTGACCATTCCCAGGGCCGGTGGTGGCATAAGGGGGAACTTGAAAAGCCGCAGGAGAGAATCAGCGGTGCCAACAAAGCCAGTGCTAGAGGAAGTGAGGTGGAAGCGGAGGGAGCAGAGCCGCATAAGCCGATGCCTCCTCTATAGCGCCGGCTCCTGTCACAGGCGGAGTGATTCCAAATGCACTCCGCCTGTGAGGAATCCATAGTAAAAGTGCGCTTCGCTCATTCTGGCCAGCGATTGGTTAGCAAATTGCTCTTTTGGAAAGGTACGGCACCGCTGATTGCTTTGATCACCATATTTTTGTACATTAATAAGTGGATTTTTGTACATTAAAAAAAAAATAAGACCTACCCCGAAAATAAGACCTAGTGTGTTTTTGTGAGCCAAAAAAAATATAAGACAGTGTCTTATTTTCGGGGAAACACGGTATCTCCAGTATTGCTTTGTTGGCAGGGGTGGATGGACTACTGGATGAAATATTCCAATCTGTCAACCTTTTTACAATGCAAACACTGCTATTGCAGTTTTATAGTTTATTCTCCTTTTACACTGAGATTATTGCATGGTTGCTTACATCATTTGACAACCTTTTCCCTTGTGGGGCAACTTTTAGAAATATCTAGTATGCTGTTTAAATGTATACACAGTGCAGTGCTTTTTTTGATCTTCCTTCTTTTGAGTCTCAAACAGCAAACCTGTTCTTTGGGTGATATGATGGGACTGTCTTTGCTGATTAAGGGCCCATTCACAAAGTGCTGATGCGCCAGTCCCAGCACATTGCACTTTGTACCGGTGTTAAAATGTCACAAGTGAGGGCACGGCTTGGTGCGAGGTAGTTGTACGGTGTTGCATCCCACTCTGCTAGAAAAAAAAAGTACCGCATGCTGTACTTTTTTTCAGGGCACACCATTGCATTCCACTGCAACATGGTGGTGTAAACCGTGTCTATTTGTTACGAGCCAAATGGGCCATTTTTTTTTTTCGGGACAGCCCCAATGCATCTGGTGTGAGTATTCTGCTCAGACACTCTGATGTCACTTGCTTTTATGCTTATTCTGGTCAGTACATATGAAGGTGAATTAGCCAGGGGACTTGCATTCTCAGAACGAGATCAGCCCTAGTAGACTATATATTTTTCAATACAAGTTTGCTTTCATTCGTACATGGCTGATTCCACCCTCCCTCAATAATGATTTCTGCACTGTAACTTGGTTTTCCACACGTCTTGCTAGATGTGGACATGCTTTGTACAAATGTGTGAACCAATTAAGTTAGTCACATGAACTCCAGATGAGCAGACAAAAAACATGACTATTTAATTTTTCATGCAGCATTTGTCTTGATACATTAGATCACATTTGGTTCTGTGAACGCTTTGCATACAGTAAAGAATGATTTTTTTTTTCTATAGTGGTTTCATGTCAGTTTATTCAGACCGTGTTTTGTATCTTCCAGCAGGAGGAGCACTTTCGCAAGAAAAACCCAGCAGAGAAGAGAGATGGTCTGTTTCCCAATTTAAATTGGAATAAAAACAGGACTTGCGCTAAGAAAAATAAAAAGAAAAACAGCGTCTTTTCGGCAAGGTACCTTTCTCATCCTGGTCTCGGAGGCATTCTCCATTTTAAACTTACAGGGAAACCATTATGATTTTAGGTCTGTTATATTTATTTTTGTGTATGTGTGTGGATACATTTATAGCTACACACACACACAAATGATGACCATAAACTGATATGGTATACCACTGTCTTAAAACTGCACACAGTATATACAGGATACAATGTTTCTATGTACATGTGATTTGGAATTGATAGATTCTTATCTTTTCAGTGGAAATGTATGTTTTAATCAATGAGGACAATAATAGAGCCCATAGGCAGGGACGTCCCGAAGCTGGGTGACACCGGGAGCGGAAACAGAGTGTCACCCCGCACGTGCTGCAGTATTCTGATACCTGCTGGCGGCCATCTTGGTGATGGACGCCGGCAGAGAGAGGTGGGGACAGTCACCCGGCGGGATAAGGTATGCTGCCGGGTCCCCTCCTCTCTCCTGATACTGTCGAGCGTTCGGTCCATGACCGAGCGCCCGACTTTTCAGAGGGGGGTGACACTAAAATGACTCTGAGTCATTTTGGTGTCAACCCTCCAATGGTGGCCCACGGCTGTGGGCCGCACCCCCTTTGTGACGCCACTGCCCGTAGGGCTCGAAGGCACAGGTCCTAGAGCTCCTCTGCTCAACCTTCTGCATGAATGGGGAAATGGGGGTCTTCTTTTGATCCTGCTTGATCCCTGAGCAGCGTACCCCCACCATTTGTCAAGCTAAATCATTCAAATTGACAGTTTGCTCAGCTGTCCCTCATGAGTCTTTTGATGAGGCTATTAAGGATTTATCTGCCCAGTCTTGCTCAAGTACCTGCATTGTGGATACTTTACTAACTTCCTTGGCAGGAACTTTCCTTCAGGAGTCATTCCATTATTGAGCTCACACTCCTCCTTAAAGGGGAACTTTATAATGCTGAGTACTGTTTAACCCTTTAAAGCATTTGCTAACCATCAGTCCTGTCTCTGTACTGAGAGATCTCCTAATCCACACGGTTCACATGAATCGGTTTTGGCTTTTCGCCTTGTTGATGAGGATCTGTCCATTCAGCATTCTCCAGACGTACCTGCTCTAAGCAGTGTATTGGACGTTCACCCTAGCGCCTTCTTCTCACATCTATGTTGTGGAACACTATCTTCTGTACCCTCACATTCAAAGTTTTTCTGCTGAACCATGTATGTCTTGCATAGAGATGTCCTCTCACTGGTATCCTTGATGCACCTATGGCCAAGGGTGTTTGAATTAGACCTTCACTAATGAGGACCCTTTCCCGCTGACCTTTTCTAACTTCTGTCCATTTTACTACAAAAGTAAACTTTCCTTTTAACTTTTCACTCAGATTTTTGCCAGCTGCGTGGCACAACCTTTTTAGCTTGTGATGTGAGCACATTTTTAATTAACCTATCCTTCATTACTTTTAAAATTAAAACCTGTGCTTGCCATGACCTTTCGCCTAGAAAAGCCTCATCTGAGCCTTCTCTTTAAGTTAGAGAGAATAACAGTGCCGTATACAGCAGCAGGTGTAAGAAATAAGTGGGGAGAGCAGGGTTGAAGTAATGATAGATTCTAACCTTTTTAAAGAAATAAAAATGTGAATATTCTTGCATATAAAAAAAACCTTTAAAGATGATCTTCCTCTTTAATACTACCAGAGTTGCAGAACAAAGTACTTTGAAACACTGCTATCAAGATGTGGACAGGCCAGAGCTGAGACCTACAAACAGAGGGAAAACGTGGAATGCTTTGCCAAATGGTGACGTCTGCAGGGTAGACCCGAAAAACAGCAGAATGCCACCACGTGGAGATACAGGTATCCTATCTGCTAAATAACACCACCAAATGTATATTGCAAAATGTGTTTGACTCTGAGGGCCTTTTTTTACATTTAATGTATGTTCTTTTCTTAGTAGCTGAAATTTCAAGCTAGGCCTGTATTAGAACACCTGTGATTTAACACAAGTTACATCTGTGCTTCTCCCCTATGACCTGTAAGGATTGCTGGTTGGTAGGGCCAATGTTTAGATTGCATAAAATTCAAATGTGTTGGGAAATGGTGTTGAGTCTCCAGAGAGATATAATTGTAGCTCCAGAGAATGGGAGTCTCAGTAAAGTTATAAGAGTGATGGAACCAGTCACTCTGCACAAAAGAGCATTTACAGGTAAGCAGTGGCCCATGTATTTATTTAAAACAGCCTTTTCTTCTTTAGGCTAGGTTCACATGGGGGATAGACTTTGCCACCTTCTAAAAAAACAGTCCAAGGATTGGAGGGTGGTTGACAGGCTATTTACAGGCATTCAGGAGGCGATAATTGTTTTTTTTTCTTAAACTTAAGGGAGATTTTGCATTGCAGTATCACACACCAAGCATTTGGCATGCAGTTGTGTTGCAGTATTGCAATGCAAAATCCCCCTTGAACTAAAAATGCAATGGTCGTGTTTGGCAAGAGGCATCACCTGCCAAACACGATATGCTGTATAAAATTTGCAGTGACGTAAAACGTTGCAGCAGCGGCCTGGATACGAGCCCAATAGGCCCCATGTTGAGGTTTAGTTGTGTGGTCGGGATCCAGTAAAAATGCAGATCAACCACTGGTTTTTGCCACCTGTGGGAACGAGGCCTTAAGGTGCCCATACACTGCACGATTCTCGTACGAGAATCGCGGGAAATCCCGCGATCGTACGAGCATCGGGAATCGTATGATTCTCGGCGAGTTAGTGGCCTGCTGGTTCGACAACTGACCAACGGGCCGGTGTGCGCACACGCACACAGCCCGTTTGCAGTCATCTTAAGCCCGCCCCTCATTGCAGTCATCGTAAGCCCGCCCGATCTGCCTGTCCAAGATGGGCAGATCGTACGTTTTTTTTAATCACTTTACAACCATCGCAAGACTGAGGTCTTGCGATGGTTGTACAGTGTATGGCCACCTTTAGACTGTTAGATTTTATAGTGATGTTTTCAGTTTATTACAGCATGTTGCTATAGCCTGTTTGTTTTATGTCTCTGACACATATACACACCTTCCCTTTTCAGAATGCTATCAAATTCTTAAGAAGAAATCTGTTGAGAAGTTTTCTTCGGACTCTAGCTCTGAGTGTGGCAGTTCTCGTGGTAGTGTGCGTGCAAGCCGAGGCAGTTGGGGAAGCTGGAGCAGTGCTAGCAGTTCTGATGGAGATAAGAAAACTGCCATTCCCAACAGGCTCTACTTCCCGCAGAGTATGTACCTATCTCTGGGTTAACACTGTCAATATTTTCATTATCTGTTCACCATTATTATTTGGTAATTTGTAGCCACATTGTCCTACAATACTAACAAGCAAGGTTCTGAATATAAAATATACATTCCCTCGGTTACATAGGCACTGTCAAGTCTGTGTCTATTAGGCCCTCTTATCACAAATGTAATTTACCTGTTACAGCTGTAAGAACTAATGGTTGGGACTACTCATTTTAGACTGATATTTTAGACACCCTACTCCTACTCTAGTGGCTAAAAAGCAGATTGTGTTTTTGAAAAATGCATTCATTTTCCAAGGCTTGTTTTGAACATGGGAATTGCATACAGTTGCATACTTATGTTTGTCTGTTTTATTTCTAGGAGAAAACATCTTGCATAGTAGTTTCCCGGCAGAGAACCCTATTGCTTTAAATTTGTCACACAGCATTTGTAACACAAGGTAACATTTTTAAATTTGTATTTGATCAGGCAGCTAATACAAACACTTTCATTGGTAATAGTTCACTTAAGCTGGCTATACACATATTAAACCAGAAAATAATGCTCAATTTCCCCATCCAAGCTAAACGGGTATCCACAACGCTGACATAACTAGTTCACTTTTGTATACTGCTCCAGTCCATGCATCCAGTCACAGGTGCATGCATGTCTGGAATCCATTTTACCCCCTTCAGGCTTGCATAGCACGTACAAGGCCGCATCTTTATTGTAAAAGTTCCAGCATTAACACTTACACTCCAGCCCATTGCTTCCACTGATGCATTTCGCCCCCTTGTGGCACTTAATCATAGAGCAAGTGGACGCAGGAACAATAGGAGTATATATATACACACAATATAACACTCCTACTTAACATTTGAAGATAATCCATAAATTCTTCATACACATTCAAATAACGTTAATCATCCTAATAATTGCCTCCTAAAAATCATATTAATATATGCATATAAAACTCTTGGGGTCCAAAAATTAGAGGAGGATTATACTGGAACGTAAACAAGACTGATGGTGAACAGACTGCGGGTCTTTTAACCCCTTCATGACTGAGGCCTTTTTTTCATTTTTTGCACCCATGTTATATTCCACATTTCTCTCCCGTTCATTGAAGGACACAGGCAACAGATCGTAGATCCTGAATGGTAGGGTAATATCGCCACCTGCAGGAGAAGGACTCTAGGCACAAAACTAAAGACCAATTACAGCCTAGGGGCGGCCCCTGCCGGTGGCCAAAACCCCCACCTGCTGACAAGTCTCCAGTTTTTTGCCTGGCGTCAGGAGTAAGGAGCTAAAAAAATTTCTCTGGAGAATTTTTTTCCTTTCTTCCGTTTGATTCGAAGTCACAAAGGGGTTAATGGTAGTCAAATAGTCCCACCGCAGTCCTGACTGAGAAGGCCCATAGATTGTGGGTGGGGGTGTGCTGAAGTGGCCGTGGATGACGCCGCCAAATACTTGCAAAATAGCATAAATGGTGGCAACGTTTCGGATCCTGTCCAATCATCACTTTTCTTTGCCTGATGAAGGGACCGGACAGGTTCCGAAACGTTGGCACACATGGTGATATGGCCTGCTAGACTGAAAGGATTTAGTTTTGAAGAAAACTTGGAGTGCTAGTGACCATTTATTCTGTTTTAATGGAGTAGGGTACAGACTAAAAGGGACCAAATAAAAAAAAAAAGTTAATTGTTGCGGTTCACTTACACTTTAACTAATGTTAGCCATATTTCACTAAGGACACAAGTTTTGCTTTTTTTCTGGTTCAAATAGTTTTAGTAAAGTAGTAAAAATATTTAGTGTTTTAAGGATTATTCAGAGGGACAGTTATTTGAACTATAGTGTCAGTTCATTTCCACTCATTTGATATTAGCGAATTGTGACAGCTCTAAGGCTTTCATTTCCTTTTCTATTGAATAAGCTTGAGGGCCCGTTCACGCTATAGCGGTGACCAGGGTTTTTCTGCATAGGAAAAATGTAGGTCACTGTTTAAAGCACATATAAAATAATTGTTTTCTATGTGCCCTGTTCACACAACAGTGCGGTTGTGATGGGGCAGTCCAATGCACTGCTGAAAAATGCAGACATGCTGCATTTTTCTGAAGCCCATTGGATGCCGCTGCAGGTCACACTTGTGTGCAGGGACCTGAATAGAATGTATACATTGTACACTACCATTAAGAAAAACAAAAAGAAATAAAAACTTAGGGAAGGAACTGCTAATCTATTTAATTGATAAATATTGACAATCGTTGTCAATGATTCTCATTATTGAGTATTTGGTCTAAATCCCATTCTTTTCTCTTCTCTTCTCTTGCGCTGCCATTCATTTCAATAGCCCCCAGATGCGCCTCCCACCTGCAGTGTGATCGTCCGCACCGGAACATGTTACCTCAATGCCGTGCATTCCAGTGCGGTGCGATTGCCAAAAAATTGTGCATGCAGTTTTATTCTGAAGTAAACTTTTGTAACACTCAATTTGTGTATTTTATTTTACATTAAGGATGGTATTTTAAATGGTTTTTTATCCGATTAATTGAAAAAAATCGGCCAACTAATCGATTAGAAAAATAATCATTAGTTGCAGCCCTAGAAAAATGTAAACAGTGATAGCCCTGGCCGTGTGTGATGCACATGACACTGCTTGAGCTGCCCAGGCACACTAGCCCGCATGCTAAAATGAAGTGTTTTAAGCAGTCAGGCTAGTGTGAACAGGCCCTAAATATCTCATACAGCATGGATTTGAGTTGTTGTCTTTCTGTGTGAAGTTTTGCACACCTAAATTGGTTCATCGACTCGACTGTTTTTGGGTGATGGGAAACAATGTGATCAGGAAAAGATTCCACCTACAGACATATAAACATCTGATGGTCATACGCAGCAAGCATTCCATATGTGTGAGAGTAATGGGTAACTCTTACCTGGAGAAGATTGTAGTTGGCTGCTGTGCTGCTCTTGTATTACTGTTCCCCCATGCAATTCCTTTTCTCTCCATGATACGTCCCTAACAATTGGCTTTGAAACGTCAATAACACTTGGCACGGAATATCTATCAGGACTGATCTTTGTTATAAAATCAGTCATTCAGGCATATTTCATCTTGTCTGCTAGTGCTGGTTTGCAAAAGCTGATTTATATCTTGAATAAAATTGCTGAGCCTTCAGTGATGATAAAGGAACTCAAGACACATTGATCAAAACTGGAGCAAACAAAATCTGGGGCAGCTGTGCATGGCGACCAATCAGCTTCTCTCTTCAGTTTGTTCCATTAAAATTTAAAAATGAGAGAGAAGCTGATTGGTCGCCATGCACAGCTGCTCCAGATTTTGTCTGCTCTAGTTTTGATAAATTCCCCTCATTATCAGGCATTTGATTGTCATTGCCAAAAACTGGATTGATTGGATAACTTTGGTTAAAGGTATAGAACAGTGTTTTGCCTTGTGAACATATGGAAATCCTTGCATTGTAATTTTAAGTATATTGAGGGGAATTTCTCTAAACTGGTGCAGACTCAAGCGTGAAGATTACTACTGGCAACTGCTTCAGATTCTGTTTGTCGGGGAAGCTCTGAAAATGAAAGATAGAAGCTGATTGGTTGCCATGTATTAGTACTCCAGATTTTGCCATATTAGTAACCAGTTTTGTCATATTGTAGGAAACAAAGCTGCTTCCGGCACCTATTTGTTTTAATGCCATAGTTAGTGAGCTATATTTCTGTTAAGTTGATATATTTGTAAAATATGTTGGTATTTATATGTTCCATGCGTTTTATGTGCACTCTTTACATGACTCGTTGAGCTCTTTTATTCCATTGACATAATTTTACTTGTACTGAGACTCTAGAGAAAATGAATATCTCAGGTTTGTAATAATTGACATGTCTTTGTGCTTGTCATTGCAGTTCTGACTTGAACGCCATCTCTCACTATCCAGACATCTTGTCTCCACCCTTTTCTGAGGCTTCAGATGCAGAAAAAACTAAAGGTACGATGAACTTTAAAGTTTTCTGGTTACAATCTTGTATTTAAGGGTAAACTAAACCCATTATGAAACTTACATAGTTACATAGTATTTGAGGTTGAATAAAGACATTAGTCCATCAAATCCAACCTATTAGGATCTCATTCTAGGAGTACCTGTACCCCTGTACCTGGGTAATTCAAGCTTGCCATATGATGAAAAAATGCAAAAGTGTAGGGTAGTGGAAGCCGTAAGTGGAAATGGTCAGTAGATACATAAGAAGTATAGAAGCAGAAATGCTGATCTCAATTTTTCCCTGTAAAATGTGTTTTGACATGCTTATCACATCTGAGGTAAGTAGGTAATTTGGGGGAAAGTGATGATATGTTCTCATAGCCCCATCCCCTAGTAACTTATACTCACCAACACTTGCTCCTTTACAACCAGCAAGCACTGTCGTAGCCTTCACTTTTTGCTCTAACACAGCAGGGCTTCTGGCTATGAGTTAGCTTTGGCGCACAGTCACACTGTTTATACCTGAAAGTGCAAGGGCTCCAAGTTGTGACTTTATGAATTTATACTGCTGAACATTTTCTCTCGTTATTTAGTTTCTTAACATAGATATATTTTCTATTTATTTATTTTGTCTATTAGCAAGAGCCTTAGCACTTGCCCAGTCTCTGAAGACTCACTTTGTGAGAATGCTGTTCACCAGGATCTACCTCCATATTTGGCCCTTTGGGTACACTTTCCCACTTCCGTTGGTTTATTGCCGAGAGGGTGAACGTGGAGTGTCACACATGCTCCGCACTCTTTCCTGCCGTTCAGTGCAGAGGAAGCATTGACCTGCTGCTTTTGCAGAGCAGTGTGAAATTGCAGCCTCTGGTCCACTCATACTGCCCGTCTAGTATGACTTTGCCAGCTCCAGCTGTCTGACCCTACATCTGCTACCAGTGGTTGGGTTTGTGAGCACCTGAGCTTGCCCAGCTAAATTCATGAATAGAGAAAGCTAGTCGGATCACCAGTGAAAATACAGCAAGTACAGTTGCCTTGATTTTTTTTTTTTATACAGATATACCATGACCTGGATAAATGAGAACCTTAAAAGACTACAAATCACCCTCATTTGTGCAGTGTCTCAATGTGGCTCCCAGTGTTCGTTCCCTGTGACTCCATGGGATTTGAATTTGGTTCTCTTGACACTTCAGAAACTGCTCTTTGAACCTATAAGTGATTTTTCTCTTTTCACTTACACCCACAAGTTAGTGTTTCTTGTAGTCGTCATCTCTAAGAGGAGAGTGTCTGAGTTGGCAAGTTTGTCCTGCAGAGAACCCTTTCTGGTCTTGCCCAAGTACAAGGTAGTGTTTAAGACCCAGACCTTCCTTCCCACCTAAGGTAGTTTCAGCCTTTCACCTCATCCAGGACATTGTTCTTCTCTCCTTCTGTCCAGCTCTATTTCTCTCCCGTTCATTGAAGGACACAGGCAACAGATCGTAGATCCTGAATGGTAGGGTAATATCGCCACCTGCAGGAGAAGGACGCTAGGCACAAAACTAAAGACCAATTACAGCCTAGGGGCGGCCCCTGCCGGTGGCCAAACCCCCCACCTGCTGACAAGTCTCCAGTTTTTTGCAGTGCGGCCTGTATGCCTGCGCTGCTTTGCCTCTCGCCCGTGCGCCCCTCTGGTGCTTCAGGGGGGGTGGGTGGTACCGCATTGTCCCTGGAAGTTTTTTCTTCTGTCATGGCTGGGTTCGTGACGCGCATGCAGCGCGCCTTGACGCAGCGCCCTCCTAGGAAGCGGGCCCTGCCTTTTGCCGTACCCTGCCTTGTCAGGGGAGTCCGAAGAGGAGGGGGAACTGCCCGCGCCATCACCTCATCCTGGTCCGGGTGATTCCTCACATCCTGGTTCTGCCAGTGAGGATGAGGCTGTGTCTACGCTCCTGGTCCAGGAACGTGAGACGGTTTCAGCACTGGTCCGCGCTGTCAGGCAGTCCCTAAAAATTGAGGATGTTGCCAGCACTTCCACGCTGCCGCATGTGCAGTTTGGGACGCATAAGAGCAGGCGTTCCGCCAAGGTGTTTCCTTACATCTCCTTTTTTGATAAATTCATTTCTAAGAAGTGGAAACGGCCTTCCAAGCCCTTTGGGCTGTGGCGCTTTTGCGGTCCCTGTACTCTCTCGGGCGCTCTCATGCGTCCGGTCTTGGCTTCGGCCTTGGTCTCTCAGACTCGGAGTGGGCTAGAATGTTACATCAGGGTCTTGCGGAGGAGAACGTCTCCCCCGCCTTTGTGGAATTGACGGACCAGTTGGTTCAGGCCTTCGTTATGTCTGTAATTCGGCCTTGGATGCGGCGCCCTTGGTGTCCAGGGTGTCGGTGTCAGCGGTGACGCTTCGCCGTTTGCTCTGGCTTAAGTGCTGGTCGGCGGACCAGACTTCCAAGAAGGCTCTTCAAGATTTGCCCTTTACTGGGGACCGTCTGTTTGGTTCCACCTTGGATGAGATCATTAAGGATCTGACGGGGGGTAAGAGTACCTTCCTTCCCCAGGCGCGCAAGACGGGACAGCGCCGGGAGCCTGGGTCTA